ACTTACAGGATATGTTAGTGTAGATACCGTCACAGTAAGATATAGAAAATATATTTTTGTATAAGAATTATTTAGTTGATATTAGGTTGGTGATGCTAAAATTCAAAATCAAGGTTTTGCTGAAGCAATTAAACAACCTGGTATTGTTTTTGTGACAGCTAAATTTGATGGTAAAGTTTAAATGAAAACAAATAGATTGATATATTTTTTTTAATGTATTGTTTTTAAAGGTATTCTTGGCCTTGCTTATCCAGCAATTTCTGTTGATGGTGTTTATCCAGTATTTAATAACATGTTTGATCAAGGATTGATTCCTGAAAACATTTTTAGTGTTTGGCTTGATCGGTAAAGATTAAAAAAATTTATTTTTAGCTTTTAGTAAAATATATTTTTATTATTAGTGATCCACAAAATCCACGTGGTGGTGAAATTATTTTTGGTGTGTTTTTATTTTCTATAGCTATTTGTTTGATATTGATTTTCCTATTTTGTTTTTTAAATAGGTGGTTCGGATCCTGCTTTATATGAAGGTAAATTTACTTATCTTGATGTCACTCGAAAAGATTATTGGCAATTTAAACTCGATGGAATTGCATTTGATTCAAATGAATATTGTAAAGGCGGTTGTCAAGCGTAAGAAGAATTTCTTTCAAATGAAATTTAATTCATTTATTTTCTTTGAATAGTATTGCTGATACTGGTACAAGTCTTTTAGTTGGTCCAAAAGCTGAAATTGCTAGTCTTAATGCTAAATTAGGTGCTATACCAATTGCTAGTGGTGAAGTAAGAGAAACAAAAATAATTGGTCTTTTTTATTTTTAAATATTTTCTAATATTCAGTATATGATTCCGTGTAGTTCAATACCAAAATTACCTCGTATTCATTTTACTCTTAATGCAACAGATTTTTATTTGGATGGTCCTGAGTATGTTTTAGTCGTAAATCAATTTAATAAAACAATTTGTTTATCTGGTTTTGCTGGTATTGATGTTCCTCCACCAGCTGGTCCACTTTGGATTCTCGGTGATGTTTTTATTGGACCATGGTATACAGAATTTGATTTTGGTAATAATCGTGTTGGTTTCGCAAAATCAGTTTCACCACCAAGAAATTCAACAATGAAAAATAAAAAGAAGAGTTTATCACTTCATGAACTTTTGCTTTAAATTATTTTATAATAGTTATCCATTTTTTTCTTTGATGATTGAAAATTAAATAAATATTGAATTCTTGACGGCTAATCGACTTTTTGTTTGATTACAAAGTTGTTATTGTTGTATAGTATTGAAGATATTAGATCTAACAAAAATGTCATTTATCGAATAAGGCAAGCGTATATTTTGTAGCAATAATTCTTATTTCATTGATTTTAGTACAAATAAAATGAAAAATCACAAAACATCAAAATGACTAGTATGGTTAAGAGAATCATACTTTATTTGCGAAAATCTCTCTATAATTAGGTTTTTCCGTTATAGAAAATGCAGCAAGTTAGATTGAACTAAGTACGAAATATATGTCTAAGGCTTGTTATGTTTTTGTTCATCATTTTCGGTGAATTTCAACAACATGAATTAAATGATGTGAATCTGGAGAAACCTTATCTATACTACTAATTGAAACTTTAGTCTTTTGTAGGTTTATCAAAAACTTGATAATTTTCTCTCGTTTACCTCCGTTGAGAATTTTGTTGGAAGCTGAAAAGAACGAATATAAAAAGATGCTTCATAGTAAGGTCGAGATTCTAATCTTAAAATCTTTCAAAACTTGAATTTTATATTAGATCAATGCTCTACTGATTGAACTGGTAGAACTTGGGATATGATTGCCACAAAATTTCGTCGATAGATGCAATAATAACCATTGAATCTCATCAACTGTTTAATCAGTCTTCACAATGATTGCTATTTTCGGTAGGTTGAAAGTTACGCGATGAACTTGATTGATATAACGAGCGAAACAAAGTTTCTGCATCAACTTGTGGTTTTTGATGTAACGCTACAATGCAAAATCATGTATTCCTGATCCTTTTCTTCTTAAAAAGAACAAAATGTCTAGTGCAGAATCATATGAAAGAATTAGGTCGAGAAGATTTCCTGAAGAACACAAAAATTTTAGAAGCAAAGATATTGAAAAATTCTTTCGCAATTTTTTTTTTGAATTTATAAAAATCCCTTACACAGTTCTCTACTAAATAATATTATTTAGAATAAGGCGTAGCTTCTTTGTGAGATACTCAAACAAAACTTTGCTTTTCTGTTATAAACGCGAAAATCAAGGATTAATTAAACTATGTTTATTGTTCGATCTCTTAAACGTTCAACCTATAGTTTTAATACTACGTGAAAGTCGTTGTTGTAGTGAACTGTTAGATATATCTATGATGTTGAAAACTATTGAAAGTCAATAATAAAAAAAAGTCAAACAAATATATATTTGGACACAAAGAATTCTTACCGAAATTACGGAAGAATTTCTTAGTACCTTTTGTTGTTAGTTTTTGATGGCCTTCAGAAAACATTTCCGATTAAATCCTTTTATATATTTTTGTACTAGACATTGTACTTTGTCTAGCACAAAGAAACGGATCAAGTCTTCACAATAATACATTGCAACGCTATATAAAAGATAATATTGATGCTAAAGCTTTTTCTCTATCTATTATATAAGTTGATATGTACATACTTTACTACTGTTCAACTTAAATTTATGGCCGATCTTTTAAGACTTTTATGATACTGACATACAGAATAATATCATCGTATTTATTTTCATCGAATCCTACCTAAGAAATTTGAGCTTTTACTGATTTTAATATTTTAACAAAACTATGTTAGATATCGAAAATGACTCAATCAATATTATTAAAAACGCTATATTGAATAATGAAGCATTACGATTTTTTGAAAAACTGTATCACATTCATACTCAAATAAATAATACGCTTATGAAAACTACAGATGAAAATTTGTACTTGTACATTGTGTTAAAATTTACGGTTTTGCAGTAAAACCTATTATTCTAAAACATCAATGCTATAATGCGTATATGAAATATTAAAGAAATTAATAAATTAAATTATAAGAATTACTGACACATTGTCAACAATTTAATTATGTAACATAAAGAGTAATAATAAGTAATGAAATAAGATTTGCTTTTGATATTTTTGAAAAAAAAACACAAGATGACCATTCTAATTTACATTTATTTTTCGAGTATGTACTGTATTGATCGATTATGTTTATTAAGAAAAGAATCTCAAGAAAATGATAAGAAATTTTTAGAATTAGAGCAACAACATTTGAAGTTCATTGTATAAATATTTAGTACGGACACATTCATCCATGTTTTTCTTATTAATATAAATAAACTTAGATCAGAATGAACATTCAATTCAATTTCTTCATCGCAAAATTACATATTAGTGATACATTCCTAAATAGTTGTTAAAAATACTTCTTTTATTATTAAAGTTACATACAAATTAGAAAAAGAATCTCAAATAAAAGTATATAAAGAAGCAAATGAACTATACGAATACGTCCAGTTTAAAATATCAGGTACAAGGAAATTTTTGTTGTAAATTGATGCTATTAGCCAAATGGAATAACATAAGACAAAGAAAAGATCTTTCTACATAAAGAAATTGGATATATAATTGATCGAATTTTTAGAGCATCGAATATCAAAAAAATGAATAGGAAAAAAGCCGAAGAAAATATATAAGACAATAATAATCAATGAAATATAACGTCGTTTTGTGGTCTTTATTGATATAAAAGAAATTATTTATGGATAAGGAAAAAAGAAAAAGAATTTCATTTAATTTTTTTCTTTATACTATTATCATCTTACACACACGTACCTATTGATAAAACAGATGTCATACTAATGTTAGCAAGATTATTTGATGACAGAAAAAATGACTGCTTATTTTCTGTTACTACTGCTTCTGGTGATTGTAATAAGAAGAGAAAAACCGCAACTAACGCAACGACTATTACATGCATTGAATTGAATAGAAGAAGAACGACAATGAGCGAAGCCAATTTCTTTCTCTATTCCATATACTCTCGTCTGTCCTCGTCTTTCATTTCAAGTGTAAAAGAAAAGTTGTAAATCTTAATGGAATGTGTGTGGTTAAAAGAAGCAAAAAATTCTCTATCAACTGACATCATAGATGCAGTCAGCGTGTATGAGCACACGAGCGTCTCTTTTCGCTTTCTTTTTTGCTGTTATGCGAACGCACTGCGTGCCTTTAACGCATTTGTTCTCTTCTATATTCATCAGTGTCTTTCATATATTCTCTTTTTTTCTTCTTCTTTAATATAGTAGATATTGAGTCGATTACAACATCAGTAAACTGTGAAGTTTACTTATGTATAATGTTCGTAATATCTGGCATATTTATTTTCTTTGATTAGAAATACATGCATTTTTTTCAAAGAGATCCATGTCTTTTTTCTTTTGTTAAGCGACCGCAAACCACAAAACTTTGTGTCTTTCATGGTCACTATCGTTATGACTATTAATAATAATGTCAAACGCCATCCACATGATGAAAATGTTGTTTTTTATTTGGTGGTCGCATTTTCTTTCCTTTTCTCTTCTCTACTTTATTCTCATACCTTCTTTGTCTTCGATCTTTTTCTTAAACATATTAAAATTCACTACTCTTTATTCTCAACCATCCACTCAACTTTTTTTTGTAAACCACAATTTTATACATGTTCGTGTATGAGTCTGTGTGCATGTATAAAAAGAAAAAAAAAACAAAAAACCAATTTTCAATTTCACCTTTTTTTTCTTCTTCTATTTCTTTACTTGTTTTGTTTAATTTCCATCTAGACAAAAAATCAAACGTGAACGAGAGAAGAAGACATATCATAGATTCCCTAAGGGAAATTTTGGGATGAGAATTTGACAGTCTGTAGTGATCAACGTGTGTGTGTAGGTGAAGAAGAAAAAAAAAAGAAATATAAGCACCGAAGGAAACATGTCCACTTCACGACGTTGTGGCCCGGTTACCGATTTACACAATGCTCATACTGTTTCAACATTGATGAGAACAATGACGACACCAACATCATCGTCAAATTATTGTCATCGTCCTTTATCACGATCGAAAACGAATTTAAATGGAACACTTCCATTTCGTTCATCAAGTATACATCAGGTTTGTACTAAAAGCACTTTTTGATCTTTTCTTTTCTGTTTTTCTTTGTGAACTAAACTTGACGACATTTTCCTTTTATAGATTGGAAATCGTGATCGAGAAACGGAACGACTTTGTCGTGTATTTGATGCTAGTCGTTCATCTGATTTATTTACACTTGAAGCAAAACTAAAAAGTAATGAGAAGGTCATTACTCATCAAAATGCAGAAGTAAATACAAATACAGACATTTTTTAAATTTACTTTCATTAAACAATTTTGATTACTTTAAAAAAAAAAAAAGATTGAGGCTTTACGTGAAGAAAATCGTACATTGGAACGACGTCTTCAAGAATTAAGTGATCTTAAACGTGATTTATCAAATAAACAGTTTGAAGAACGTCTGAAAAATGACGATCTTCTTCGAGACCTTAAAGACATTGATCGTCTGGCACGAAAAGTTCAAGCCGATAAACAATATACTGTTGAAGCAGCTGATCGAGAATTAACTGAAGCTAAAGTAATTTAAAAATCACATATTTTCAATGAATTTTTTTATTTTATTCTTTTTATTTAAGATGGAAATAGAACAATATCATCGTGAAATGCAAGCACTTGATAATAAAGTTCTTCATTTAACAACAGTATGTTCTTATTAAAAAAATATTTAAATCAATTTTTCAGTCAAATTGAGAAAAATATAAGGCAAATGTTAACTGTACACACTATTCATTTGAGAGTAGTAAATATGTATCGCTAACGATTAGATTTTTAAATATTTTATCATTTGTAAACATAAAAAAGAAAAATAATCGCGGTTTTTTTCTATAACTACTAATGGACGCAATGAAATGGCGAAAGAGAAAAATGTTCGCAAAAAGAAATCTGTCATAATCTTCTCTATTATTTTTGCTTCATGTCAAAATAATTCGGCTTTCTTTTTAAACCTCTAGCATTTATAATCATTCATTGATAAAGTAAACAAAATAGTACTCTATGATTTGAACAATTAACGCATTACCTGCATCTCTAGTAAAATAAGTATTGAACAGTAAAAGTGAAGTATTGATTGTTACTGCCCTTCTGAACGATTTTGTTTACTTTTTCGATTCATGATTAAAGCTGAACGAAGTTGTATAACTGATCAGAAGCAATAGTAAATGAAAATATAACAAAATAATTTTTGTGAACATTTATTTTCTTTGAAATATTTTTACTGAATATTTGTAAATATGTATTGGCCATATAGACCTTGAGTATAATCTTGATCAAAGACAAATTTCAATTATAAATATAGCTCATTCGAAATATTGTACTCGACATATTGAGTAGACATTCTAATAGTCTAAGCCCTTCAAAGGCAAAAAACAATAGATTTTTGTATCGTGCGTTTTTCTGAGTCTCAAAGTTGTCTATGATGTTCTTTATTTTCATCAAGTTAATATGAGATAGTAGTTGTAGTCACCAACTCAAACGAATCATTATATCTTACGACTTTATAAAATTTTAAGCGTGATCTAATCTACTATTTTCCTTCGAAATAATAATAAGACGATATTCATTAACGGCGAGTATTTTCATAAAATTTTCTTTCTAACTAATTTAAAATAAAATTCTTTATTATTGATAATCCTAATTTGATGATCAAATAGTAAATTATTATTTCTTCTTTTTTTCCTGTAACAAGGACAAGAAAAATTTAACTGAAGAACTTGAAACAACTAAAAATCAATATGCTGAATGCCACGATGAACTTATTCGTTTACAAGAACTTGTTGATCGTATACAAGCAGAAAAAACAAAACTTAGTCGACGAATTTCGAAACTTGTTCATAATGGTAACTTGAAAATAAGATATTTCATATAATATATTTTATTTTCTTTTGTTTTAAAGAAAAAGATTTATTACATGAATTACAAAAATGTCGTCGTATAACAAAACCTGCAACTCCATCAGCATCAACTGGTTCATTAACAAAGAAACTTACAATTCCAGCTCGTATTGATATACATTTAAAAAATGTTGAAGATGAACGTGATATGTATAAAAATGAAGTAGAAATTTTACAACGATTACTCAATGAACGTTCTCGTTGTTTATCATCATTATCACCTTCACGTTTAAGAGGTCGATCATTATCACCAACAAATATTACACGTTTAACAGCTAAACGTGATACGGCTAAATCACCAGTTATGCAATATGTGAAACGATCAGCAAGCAGTTGTAATGCATCACCTACACGTTGTTGTGTATGTGGAATAAATCGAAACCGATTATCACCAACAAAAGTAAAACAAATATTTATTATTTATTAGTTTGTTTTATTTATTTTTTTTAATTTTATTTTCAAGGATATTTGTTCATATGAAACTCAATTAAAAAATCTTGAAGAAGAACGAGATCGTTGTCGACGAGAACTTCGTAAATATAAACGATCAGCAAAAGAAAAAGTAAATTTATCGAAGTTGTCATGTAGAGTTAAGCATTTATAAAATTAAAATTTTCAAAACTGATTTTAATTTCAACTTCCAAGATTTATCTATTGAAAAATCATCAAATCAGACATGATTTACAGCAAAAGAGAATCTTTCGACATATTTGACGCATTATTTCTTCATCGAGATTGTAAGAATCACAACAAACAAAAACTCTGATGGTTTTTCAAGAAGTAGATTCGTTCGACTTCATATCACATAAATGCACTGAGAATATTTTTCATTAATTCTATAAAGAGCTATAAATTGATCGACTAAACTGTAACCATAGCAATTCATATTTGAGAAATGATTAACACACATGACTCTTAAATTCTAGTGGTTGAGTTCACTTCGATCAGTATATTCTCCACCGAAATTCAATAATTCGCATTTAGGCAATGGGACAATTGGCAATGTCCATTTTCGGTGATTTTCATTTCGATGAACCTTATATTGATGATCTGTGTTGCAGTGATGTTCATTTCGACGATGAGTTATACGATTTCCACTATTAGCTTGACCATAATTGTCGATCTATAATTAAAAGAATCTTTTAATGTGAGAGAAAAATCAACATTTCTAAGAATATATTTAGGCTTTGATAATAATACAAGATATGAATATCTGATTTAATTTGATAGGATATTGATGACACTCAATTAACGAAATTAATGCGAGAAAATGAAGATTTACAATTAATAATAAAGAAATTTGAACGACATATGGCAGAAGTATAAATATATCGATCATATTATTTAATGTATTTATTTATTTATTTATTTACTTTCTTTTCAAGATTCAATGTAGTATAAAAGTACTTACTAACGAACGAGACAATTTAAATCTTCTCTACGAACAAGTACGTTTGTCACTTTTAGTTTTCTTATTTAATAGAAACTCTTTTTCGTTGTAGACTAAAGATGAATTACAAAAAGCTCGTCATGAACTTTTACAAAGTGTTCAAACACCTAAAGTTTCTCTTGCAGCTCAATCAATTTTACGTAAAGTTGAATGTGAACGTGATTCTGGTTAGTTTAATGAAATTTTTTATTTATTTATTTATTTATTATCATCATTCTTTCTTAGCTGCTCTCGAAGCAAGAACAGCAGCTAATGAACGAGATTGTTTACGCGAACGTTTACGTGTAAGAGAAAAGAATGTTATCTTTTTTTCTAAATCTAAAAACTTCTTTTAAGATTATAAGTGACAGTGGATTAAATGAACAAGCAAGATATGAACAACGTATTGAAGATCTTGAAGTTGATTTACAAAAAGTACTAAAAACAATAATTTGATGATTGATTATTTTAAATTAATAATCGTTTCTTTTTCCTATTTTAAAAGCTTGATAAAGATCGAGAAGAAATTATTCAACAAAATCATACATTACGTCAACAAATTAAAAATTTAGACGATAAACTGGATCAGCAATCTTTTACTATTTCACACTTAAATCAAGAATTAAGTGATCAAAAAAATACATCATCACAAATGAGATATTTATCTGAAGAAGCGGAACGTCTTGTACAAGAAAATCAAAGACAATTAAATTTAAAACAAGAAGAACTTCATGCTCTGGAAGATAAAGTGATTAGACTTGAAAAGAAAATTTGTATGTTTTAATTTAAAACAAAGCAATGTGAGAAAAATCTCATTGTAGATGAATTACAAGAAGCAAATAAAGCTATTAAAGATGATTTTCATGTTGTACGTACGACTGTTCAAACACTCGATAAAGAAAAAGATCGTCTATGTGCTGAAATTGATGCAAAATCTGAAGAAAATTTACGTTTAACACAAGATATCAATTCTAAAACACGTCGAATTGAAGAACTAACTATGATGGTATCAGAATTAAAAGCTGCATTAGAGTAAATTTATTTTTTTTTTCTTTTTCTATTTTAAATCATTCTTCGATTTGATTTATTTTCAGTCATTCAAAAGATGATGCAAAACAAAAATTAAAAGAAATTACAAATATAAGATTACAACTTGATCGAAATCTTGAAGAATTTAATGAATATCGACGTAAAACTGATCTTAATGCAAGAGATAACAAACGTTTACAAGATGATCTTTTAACACTTACACGTGAAAATCAAGTGAGAAAATTTTAAATTATAAATCATTTACCAACCGGAATAGCAATATTTCTCTCTTAAGTGCTTAGCAAATCTGTATGCAATCTATTTATATTATTAAAATCTTAATAACTTTCGTAGATCTTTAAGGTATTATTCTAAGTTTTTCTCGAGATTAATCCTTTGAAAGCGGATTATTTTTTTTCAATTGAAAAATGGTTCTTCAATCAATTTATTGTATTTGACTCAAAATGATTGCATAAAAAGCTTGTGATAACATATGAAGAGAAGAGAAGGAGAGATCATGACGTCATAATATATTAGCAGAAAGAAAGGAGAACACTATGAGAAGGATTTATATGAATAAGGAGAAAAAGAGAAAAGATTTGCATGAGATGGTTGATAGGGCCTCCTATTACTTAGAAAGTCATAATAGTTTAATGGATTTAAATATCTATTTATTTTTGTTAATTGAAGAGTCTTTATATCAAAATTTATTTCTTAGCTTCAATCCATTATGATCTTATTGAATAATCGTTTATTTATTCATTATTTGTAGACACTTCGTCAAGAACTTGATCGTGAAATTCGTGATAAAGATAATCTCAAATTACAAGTACAAGAATATATCAAACAAGTATCCAATTGTGAAAATGTTATTACACAAAAGGTATTTAAAAAATTTCAATGCGTATGAGGAAACTTATTTGCATATTGACACAAGACAAAGAGTCTTTCAATTAAAAGGTAGAAGTTTAGCAAAGAGCGATTAAGAAATTAATTATAACTCATGAATAGTTGTAGAATAAAAAAAGTCAAATATTAATCTTATTAAATAATCAAAAGAGACGAAGAATGAGTAGACAATAGACATCTGCGGAACCAGAGCCTAAATTTTAAACAATATGATATTCGTAATTCTGTGATTTTTCAAGTGAAGTTTTTCGTACATCATAAATCAATTTATTGTTTTCGGTTTCATGGATTTTCGACAATTTGTCCTATGTCCGTCAGAATCTCTACAATAAAAAAATTGTCGAAATTTCAGTTTTCCGATGATCCATAGTGGAATAAAGGAAGAACATCAGTGAAAATCTATAATTTCGACAACTCGTCTAATTACCTGTCTAAATTTCGATAATCTTTTGACTGTCAAAAGTCCGGCAGATATTGGATAAATGGTCAAAAATCAGATGTCGATATTCCATGAATAAAATCTGTAAATATAGTCTTAATGAGCAAATAAATCACCACCATATACAAGCCTATATTGAAAAAATAAACAGTTTCATCATTGCGAACACAAAATTATATCTTTACCATCGTCTGATTCCATTTTTTCATCTTATACATTGCGCATTGCTTCATCATCTTTGTAGATAATCGTCTTGTTTCTTTCTCTCGCTTTTGTGAATATGATTGTGACAAATTCTTTGATAATACATGTTTACGTGGAATAAATGATGTAGAAGCTGTCTCTTCTGATTTAATACACAAAAGCATTTCAAATAGGCTAAATGTTTATTTAAAAAATGGCTTTATCTATTTTTTCAGTAACTTTTGCGCTTAATTTGACATGTACTGGGACGAAACCAAAAAATACAACTTTACCAGGACTGGAAATGCATCAAATTCACTGTGACTACAATCAGGCCTAGAACCAAAAAAAAAACTTTGTCTCACACTTGTTTAGTAGAGAGACACAAAAATTTGCTTCTAATTTAAAACTATTATCGATGAGATTTCAGAAGATCAACATCGAATCCTATCGAAGTCTTCTTGAAATTGAAGACTCCATAGAAGCCCACTTTGATCTAAAATGCTTAAGGTTTATGTTTCCCTATTATTTATAAATTTCTTTCCATTTAAATCAACCTCAATAAATCTTATGTCTGTTGAAATCCAAGAGAATTTATCAAAATCTTTACTGACTTTCTTGTATGTATCATTGTTTGAACAATCACTCATAAGCTCAGTCAAGTATAGAACACTATTGCTAGTTTCAACCAGTGTATATGCCAATAAGACATTTCTTATGCATCTTTTAAATCAATATGAATGATAACATTTGATAAAAAAAATTTAAACGATCGATCTTTCCGATGTTTTCTTAAATAGATTCAATCAAACTTGTAAAAAGCTGATAATGTTTAATGTATAAATTTCAATTAACTTAATTATTAATCTCTTGATACTTATTTTTATTATTCATCAACCGAAATAAATGATCTAATTTTCTAGGAAAATGATCGAACAACCTTAGTGGAACAATATCGTGAAGCCATTAATGAATTAAGTCGAGCACAAAGGACCTTAGATGATTTAGAAACACAAGCAAATAATCTTAAACAAGAATTACAAATAAAAACAGCTGATATAAAACGATTAACAGCACATATTGATTATCTAGAACGAGATCTACAACAAGTATGAAGAAAAAGATTTTTTTTTCTTTTTTTCAATTTAATTATTCAATGTTTAGCATGTATCAGTTGGTAAAGAATATGAAATGCAATTATCAAATATGAGTCGTTCATTACAACGTAGTGAAGAACTAATAAAAAAATTACAAACAGATAGACAAAATTTATCAAACGATTTTTCAAATGTTCGTGATTTTAATTCAACAATTGAAAATAAAAAAGAACAACTTATTCGAGAATTAACAGCAAGAGACCTTGAAAATGAACAATTACAATCGGCTATAAGTGATATGAAAATTGAAATTGATATGTTACGTACACAATTACATAATGAAAAAGCTGTCGTACAAAGTTTAGAAGAACTTATTACATCATTACGTGACAAAGAATTTCAAACACAACTTCATGCACAAGAAAAAAATACGGATTTACATTTAGCAAAAGATCGAGCAAATATGAATGATCTTAAAATGTATGATTTGAATGTAGACATTTGTTTTTCTTTTTATAATCTTTTTTTTTTTAAATTTAGACAAAGTCAAAGTAAAGAAATAGCTGCTTTACGAACAGAAATTATTGGATTAGAAACAGATAATAAAAGATTGAGAAGTTTATTAACAAATGAAAGATATGAAAGGTACATTTAAGTTTGTTAAAGTATAAAAATAATTTCTTCTTTTATATAAAGAGAAAAAGCTGCTCAAGACTTAAGACAATTAAATGATCTTACATCACATATTGACTTTGAGTCTCGATATCGTAGTGCATCACCTAGAATAACAAGATCTTCTTCCAAGTAAAACAATTCCTTTTGTCTTGGCTTTATAAACATATATTTAGACCTACGACAGTTTCATATTAGTCCTGATCTTGAGAACTCTTCCAAGAGTTCTTCAGAGAAGAACTAATCTAGTTCAAAAGTTCTTTTGAACAGTTCACCTGCATTTATGAGCTTCAACTGTCGCAGATCTAAAAATAAAGGCCCAGTTTTTTCTCGATAACTAGTCACTGCACGCAGTTCTTGAAAAAGAACCAATCATTACACCTATTCTCGAAAGAAAACTGGTTATTGCAATCAGTTATCCAAAGAGGATTGTTCACTGCACTCATTCTCGAAAGAGAATCGGTCATTGCACTGATTTTATTTAAGGAGAACTATTCACTGCACTCATTCTCGAAAGAGAACTGATCACTTCACTCAGTCTTGAAAAAGAACTGTACACTGCACTTAGTTTCCAAAGAGAACTGTTCGTTGCATCTAGTTCCTGAACAAGAACTAGTCACTGAATGCAATTCTCCAAAGGAAACTGATCATTGCACCCATTCTAAAAACAAACTGGTCACTGGCCTCAGTTCCGAAGAACAACCAAGTTCATAGAACTGAGAGCTGTTCTTGATCTAGATATATTATTAACGCCTTTTATTTAACTTTTAGTACGAATCTTCATCGATCACCGATAAGAAGCTATTCTCCAACACGTGTTGAAACACCCCGAACATCACCTACTAAAGTGAGTATTTTTCTATAAATAATCTATATGTAATATTTATTATTGTCAACATGTAATTATGTGCGCATTTTATCTTTGTATATAAAGATCTCCATATCGCTGAAAGTTTCTGAACTTGACAAAAGTCATGAAATTGCTCCTCAAGTCGACGTTAGTACCAATAGAAACAACAACAACAATAATGATGATGATGATAACGTGGGTTCTCATCTTAAACTCTGCTCGTTTTTGTTCTTCTCTTGATCTTGCTTTGTTTAGGAGCTTAACTTAGTTTAAAATAATTAACTATTCATTTCTTTAAATCTTATTTTTCTTTTCTTTTTATCTTAGGCCATTGACAGATCATGCAGTTTACGTATTGACACAACTCCATAGATTTCAATTTTGAATTATATCTCATCTGTTCAAATTCGATGCTTTGTTTTGTTTTTTTTTTTTTTTTTTTTCATATCACAACATTTTTTCTTTTATAATTTTTGCTTGTCATTGTGTGTGTTTGTATCTTTTATCAAAGTGATCACATGAAACAAGTTTTATTGTACGTTTTTTTTGCTAACGTTAGCGTGCGTGCACGCCTTTCTTTTTCTTTTTTTGTTTTCTCTTTGTGTGTATTTTTAGACAATATCAAAAAATCAAAAAGCTCAATTTAAAAAAAAAAACGACTGAAATTGACATGCTATTTTCTTTTCCTGTGTAGATTTGTGATATGAGTAAATAAAAGAATTTTTTTTTTTTGTTCTTTTTAAAATTTAATAATGATTAGTAGAATTTGTTTCTCATTTTTATTCTTTCATTTTAATCGTTGACACGAAATATTGATGATTTTTTTTTTTTCTTTTTGAAAAAAAAAAATTAATTAAAAATAATTCATTAGAGGATTTTTCATTTGATCAATTGTTTTACGACGATTAAGTCTACCAAGAAATTTATGAAAACGAGAAGGTTCAAATTGCATCTCCCCACGTTGTAAAATTTGTTTCAACATTTTAGCGACTTGACTCGAATAGCGACGATATAATTGATGTTCCCGATTATCCTCGATTGATGATGATGATAATAAATCATTGTTTAGTGCTTGACTAACCTTAAAGAAAAATACTATTTAAGAAAAAGAAAATAGTTTATTTGTTTTTCCACCTGAATGATGATCATCGAAATGCATAATAAAATGAGACAATAACGAAGACTAATGAATGAACATGATTGATGGTAATAATTGACCATGTTTTGATATCGCTGTGTTTTGTCAAACACTTAGTAAAGCTAAAAAAATTAATAATAAATATTGAATAGTTTCTTTTGAATCGACACTAAATGCTAAGCATTTTTAATTTGTTTAAGAAAAAGTACGTTTGAATTCATAAAGAATGATGGATGAATTCATCGAGAAAAATGATCAAAATTTTTTATTTCCTTTAATCCGATATATTCATGTTTTATTGTGTAATTTACATATATTATATAAGATGTCACAAAGTCAAATAATAGAATTTCTGTACATATTCGTTAAAGTATATATTAACATAAGCAATGTTTTTTTCTGTTCTACTTACATAGTAACTTTGAAAAAATATTCTTTGCGCAATATACGTAAGACTGAAGTTCTCAGAAAAATATGATCCCATATGAACACAGAGACGAGAAAAACGAATACTAATTCTATTAAGAACAAAAAAAAAAATAAGTAGACATATCTACTTTTTTATAACATTTTCCGAATGATAGAAAAAGGCAATTAATTCTTAGTTACATCTATACAGTAATCAACCGGTTCGATTCTCCATTGGGAATATGAACATATTTCTTCATGTTTTCTCCATTGATTACTTAACTTAATGGTCAATATTTATTCAATATTTAATTCTATCAAAATAGACTGATACTAACAAATAAAACCTCTTAGAAATACTTCCTTTGAATGAAAAAAATTAATAAAAGAAATTTTCTCTTTCGCTACCATAGCTCAGAGTTTTCTTATCTATTGAAATGTATGCAGTACATTACAAATAAAATATTCAAACTTTATTATGTCTGAAATAATATCCTGTTTATTTGAAGACAACATCTTTGATAAAAATTTCAAGTTAATATATACATTCTTAATTCTGTTATCATAACAGTCAGTATTATTTTTTCACAGCAGATATTTGTTGATTTAACAGTTCTTTATTTTATCATTTTTCTTTCGAATGTTTTTTATTCTCCTGTGACTTGTTCAATTATCCCATGTTGAATCCTTTTCTTATCATCACTAGCGACCAAATGATATCAGTTATATAACTTGAATAAATTCATCTATAGAAGATCTTATTCACAGGGGAAATATAAGTTCAATTCAATGAGTAACTTCATCAAACACATAAAACGAAATAAATAACTATAACTATTAAAAGAAAAATAATCATTTACGTTCGGTTCAATATCTCAAACAATTGAAGTTCATTTTATGTGAACACAAAAAATGATTGATCACTACTCAAGAATCAATAAACTTCAACGGTCATATATCTCAATTATTTGTGTTGTTGAAAAGGTCAAGTATAACTCTTGCTGTTATTCTCAACAAAAAAACATTGTTGTCTAACTTTACCGCAGGGAGCAATAGATCTCATCTCATACTTGGATATTCTCACACATCAATATTCCCCATTCAATTTATCTATACAATTAGCTACTGAACATTACCAATAATTACATTCATTTAATAGAAATGTATGAACGTAGAATCTTTATAAATTTTCATTAAAAAGAAAGATATATACATATATATGTGAAATATATTTGCTATTTGTTGAACATAATATCATAATTCTGCCAATCGCACTTATAATTAGTTAAGCTGTTCAAACAATCAGTTATAATCTTTTATGCACTCGTATGTTAAATGAGCAAAATTCCATTGTAGAAAGAAAAGAAGAAAGATGATCGGTCAGTCGACTGAATGATTGATACAGATGTGCACTTTCTTGATGTATTCATCCACGACCACTAGTATCAATCCATGGAAAAAGAAAGAATAGAGAAAAGAGCAAAAAAACGATAGAAGTGTTCATTAGACAGAAAGGAAGAGGGCATATCATAATTATATGATCAGTCAGTTAGGAAAATGGCACGGATCGAACTTATCAGTCTTTCTCGTATATGGTATACGATTATAGTTGTATTAATTCATTTAATTCTTGTGTATTTTGGTATAAAACAATGTTATTTTAATGATCGTTTACCATGGCCTACATCTTCTTCATTACCAAAACTTGAATTATTAATACAAAAATTTTGTCTTCTTATATCATTTGTACTTCTTTTAATATTTATTTATCCAGCTTTATTTAAAATTGGAAATTTTTCAAATGATAATCAACAATTAACGATAGATGATTTAAAAAAAACTGAACTATCTTTATGTTCGAAATTATGGCAACATTGTTTTTCATTAAGTAGTACACTACATTTAATTATGAGTTTTCTCATTATTATATCCACTGTACTTATTCATGCTAAACAAATTATGGTTGGATTAAAAAATTCAGGTAAATTTTTTTATTTAATGTTCTATGAGAATTAGTCTTATTTGTTAAGTAAAGTAGCATGAAAATTGATAATTTGTCAATAATGGATCATTTGTTCGCTGACATGTATTAGACATTATTTATCAATGATCAAATATCTCTTTGGATTATATAATTCTAATATCATAGACATTATAGAAATAGCTACAAATGATGTATAATCAGGTCAAAGCAAATCTTTTGATTATGGTTTTTTAATAGATTTGTTTTTCATCGAATGATAACAAACAATATCGTAAAGATATGATCATATATTTAATGTTCGTAAAAACAATAAAATTATGAATACTATTAAAATATGAGTTTGGAATAGAGATGTGTGCGACCAATTTCGATCATCGGGACCCAGAACTACTAGAATAGAAGTTGTCGAGCCGAACTGAAACTAACACTACACCAGATTTACGGAGATTGGAGTAGGATCGGGATCAGAAAACTTGGTTCTGTGATCTTTAGTTTAGAATCATCCTGTACGAATATAGTTTTCTCATACATAGTTGATACGTTTTACAAATGAAATCGATTGTTTTATTAAAAACATGATATCTTATAAAAAAATAGAATTTTAATAGGAGAAGCACAAAAATTAGCATAAATTCTCTTTTAGCACTTCTATGGCATAGTGACCTTGATTTACTATTTGATTGGTCTTCATCACCGACGATATCTATCACTAAACGTTTTGTAATATCAAATCAAAATTTCTCATCATTATCATTCTCAATTGATTCCTATTCACGTTTAAGTATATTGAATTTTCTATTTGCATCATTTGTTTGTATTATACGTGAACCATATGTATTCTGGTCCATATCAAAAATTTTTTCTATACTTTATTCATTTGCTATTGCTCTTAATGTTTTACAATGGTGTTTAATGTACGGTGCATTGCAATTATTAATAAAAAATATTTGTTTTAATACCATTGAATTACGTCATAATATTGGCTATTTACTATCAAATCAACCCTATACAACATTATTTCTTTATTTACTTCTTGAATTTCTTATTTATATATCTTCAATAACATATTATTATTATGCGTATAATCGTTTTAAATCAAATTATAAACGTTCATGTTATGATCGTTTTTCAAATTATTGTCCAAGTTTAATAGCTATTATTATTTTATTATTATATACAGCATGTAAAATGCCATTAGCACATGATATATTTTTACTTTATATTCAAACACGTTTACCTCTTTTATTTCTAACATTTATTTTTGAAATTATTCATGTTTTGTTAATATTAGCTATATGGATTTTTTTAACAACAAAATTAAACTGGCATATAAATTCTCAAGAAAAAAAATTATCAAAAACTTTTAATGGTTTAACAGTTCAAAATATTCCAATAGAAGAACGAACAAAAATTTCCTTATCAGAATTAAATAATGATTATTCATCAAAAGAAAAACCTTATGAAAAAATTCGTATATTTCAATCAGAAATTTATTATCATAATCGACCAAAAAATTGGAGTTTACCATTAAATCAACAATCAACAATGATGGCTGAATTTGATAATGATGATGATATTATTACTCGTTCACCTTCATATCCAATAAGTCCAAATAATAACAATAATAATAATAATAATGAAATACAATATCGAAATGCAATAAGAAAAACTCTTTCAAATATAAAAAATTCTCAAGAACAAGCAAAAGCTGTTTTTCTAAGAAGTAATACACCGCCTACACCACCTGTTAAAAAATTTACAAAAGAACAAGTAGAAGCAGCTAGATTGCGAGCTCAAAAAATAATTAATCAACAACAAAGATCATCGGGTTATATACAACAACAACATTCAACTGCTTTACTTATTAGTCAAGTTTGATTATTGTATTGTTTTTTCTTTTTTTTGTTGGTGTTTTTTTGCTAATTACCAAACAGGTTCAATAAATCGTTTTTGTTTAAATTTTGATTTTGATGGAGGTGATCGTTTGATTTTTTTTAATTTGGCTTTTCGAGTTGTCGTACTTGTTAAGAAAGTTTTCAATTCAAGCAATTCATCATGACGAATTTGTGTACCTATTTGAGAAAATGAATTAGAAATTAAATGAAATTGAACTTTTATTTTTTACCATTTTGAAAACAATGTTCAGAACTTGGTTTTGGACAACGATTAAGAAGACCACTATTAGGAAAACCTATAAAAAGATATTTTATTTTATTTTTAATCAAAAGTTGTTTTTTTTTGTTCTAACCATAAGGAAGTTTTGGTTTAAGAAAACAAAATTTTTCAAATATTTGAAGTTCTAAATCATCTTCTAAATCGAATGCGTCATTTCGATTATAAATTATCCAAGTATTTTTTAAATGACTTATTTTAGGAAATAATATGAACCAAGTATTTTTTTGCATGTCCATTTCAATTTCTAAATATGAATAAGAATTTTTGTAATAAAATAATAAGTTTACTTTTGTTTTCTCACCATCATGTTTGATTATTATACGAATAAAACGTGGAACATTTTCAGGCGCTTTACTTTTTTTTATTGTACAATAAACACTAAATTCAAATGTATTTTGTTGTGATGAATGAACTTCATTTAAATTATCATTATTATTGATAGGTATTAACCAATTAAAACGACCAAATAAAATTGTTTCAGCATGTTTAACACGTGTCTCAAATGTTGGTTGTTCAATATGTAATAAAATACCACCATTGACTAATAAAAATATCACGGTAGGTAAAAAAATTCCTATCAGTATCAGCTGCATGAGCGTCTTCTCAGAATATTAATTATGGTAATATATTATTTGTCGTTTGTTCTTTCTTCTTCTGTGTATATTTGTATTCAATGTGAGAAATGATGGAAGGGTGGGAAAACATCTGGACAACAATGTCAACAAGAAAAAATGATCTTTACAAAAGGAAGATAACGGGAAGATAGTAATATAAACATTGTTTTGCTTATATATGTAAGACGTTACTGTCATATATTCGGCTGAAGTCATGGTTATTTAATCATTCCATGAGAAATAAGAATAAAAGATCAATATGTTATTATTAGAAGTCTAATGTTAATTTACTCTTTGAGTGAATATCTTCTAGTACATTAATTTGCAGCATATGAAATTGTAAGAAGTTCTTCTGTCATAAGTTTTTCAACATTGATGATCAAAAATTATATTCATAATATATACACAAAATGTTTTCTTTTGTTGATACTGGATCATGCTATACTGTATGTCATTATCTACATTGAGTCCTCTTGAATACTATTCTGTGATTAATGCTTACAAATGTATAATCATTTGAACTTGTTTATATACCGTCACACAAGCTAACACAAAATGTTTTTGACGAATGGTTCGATATTAAGTAAAATCTATTTTGTATAAAAACTGATAACATATATATATATATGAGTTAAAATTCTTTATTTTTAGTCTAAATTTGGTAGAAACAGAAACTTAACAACGATTAATTAATGTTCTTGGTATTGTAACAAATATAATGAATGATTTGTAAGATTTACATCATAAAAGCTACAAAATATGTGTCGGAAGGATACTAATATTGAAGCATATAGAGTATTAAGGATCGATTTCTTTTTAGAAAAGACTGATATGTCAATATTTATCAGTTAACAATCAGTTGTAACCGGCGAACCATATAAAATGGCATAGGTTTGCTTTTATCCTTTTGTTGCCTTCCATACGATTTCAAGCGTTAGTATTATATTCATGAAGGAACTCCACCAACTGATTAAAAGCTTTTAGGCTCATATTTTGGCCATAAGTAGGACTTGATGGAACTAGAAGAATTCCAAAATGATTTGTCCCCATAAGTCTCTTTAGTTAAGTTACGAATGTCCTAAGTTTAGATCCAACAGCATAGATAAACTACTTCTAATGCTTGAATTACAACATTCTAACATTTCTATAGAAGGCTCTCTTTATTCTTTTGTTTATACTCGTTCCGATATGAGTTACGACTCCAAATGAAATAAAAAACCGCATCAGTCAAATGAAAATGAAAGATAAACTATGAATGAGGAGATATGCAAACAAATCAACGGGTACAAGTAATTGAGAAATGCATATGACGGTTTTTAAAGCACATACATGAAGCAATTTTATTGTATTAAAGTATTAATACCTCATGCTACTTTTCTATAGCACTTAGCTCATCAGACAAACACAACAATATGATTTTTTACAATGGCTTCACGTCTTAGCTATGAATATTTCAAAAAGAAATTTTTCTTTTGAAATGTTACAGTATTGTAATTGAAGAAAAAGATGCAGTTTATGCATGCATCTGGTCCTAAACTTGAAACGTCCATATCTCAACCAAATATGTCTATGGAAGTAAATCCTTTTGGAGTTCCTCTAGTGCTATCAAGTTCTACTTATGGTCAGAATATGAACCCAAAAGCTTTTAATCAGTTGGTGGGGTTCCGTTGTCAGTCGATACGAAATTTTTTTCTCTATAAAATTATAGATTTTATGATATTTCAAATAATTTCTTCTTGTCGGAGCCAAATTCAAAGCATTAGCAGCTATTCAATGGTCGCATTGCGACAATCAAAAAACAAAAAAAATATAATGATCAATTTTAAACAAGGATTCTATTAAAGTTTCAAATATATCACAAAGTTTTTCGTGAAATTCTGAATCTTTCAATATATGTATTTCAGAATATTAGAAAAAAGTTGATGAAAAATATTTTTTGATGGAAAAGGGGAAAATACAGTAGGGTGAAACTTTTTTATGGTAGAATTGTATAATTATTCTTTTGGAATACATCACTTTATCAGTTTTTTTTCTCCATTTTAAAACTCATACCATTCTGTCTAACATTGAATCCTATATGTAGAGACATGACAATAAACGTTTTCTAGGTCAGGTGTCGCTTGGGAAAACATGATTTCTCATAATTCGTCCAAAAATACTACTAGGTATTAGTAGTATCAAGTCAGTACTTCTTAACAATAGCAGCAGAAATCTTAAAAACTTCTTGAAAACACAGAGCATGAGAGTCTTTATCCGTATGTGCTAAATGCTTTACTTTTAGCATCGATTTTTTGATGAGTCCAAGCTTACATGAAGCTACAGATGTCTGTAGAAAACTCGATATCGACGATCGAAGATTGACTAACAATCAATCATTTAAGTTTTTACTTGCCAAGAAGAAGATATTTGGAAAAATTTTGATAGTTTTGTAGAGTTCAAACTTTAAAATTGATGGAATATAAAATGAGTGTTTGAGACTCTACAAGAGGTGATGCAAATAAAAAAAAACAAAGTTATCGTGCGCATCGATTAAATCTTGATAGCATATTTCATATGATAAACAGTAATTTTCGAATTGTAAAATGCTCTCCTAATGAATAAAAATAAAAATTTAGAGATATGCTTATTCAGGTAAAATAAAATCTGATTTTCTTTGGAAACCCATTATTGTAATAAGTTTTATGCAATATGCAATATATTTACTATTTAATTGGAAAGTTGTTTATGGATTCAAGTAACTGCACATACTAAGTGTGTTATTAATCAATATGTTTTTATTTATTAATTTAATGCCACTACTACAATGGGTTTTTAATTAAAGCAGTAATAGGAATTTAAAGAAAAAGATAGAATAGTATTTTATGTTAGTAAAAATTGTGTTGCAATAACTTTGTTAAAATGTTCGCACTATCAGAAATGTATAGTATAATTTCTCTCGAGAATCTACATTCAAATATAAATCGTGCTTTATTCGAGTAACCTTTGTCATTTATTTTGAAATTTAATGAATTTTAAATTAAATTAAGAACTGGACCGAGAAATCACCGGAATTTTGGACCGGGCCGAAAGTTTGGGACGAAAAATTCTTGGGCCGAAATTCCGGATTCCCCAAGGAATATGTCTCTAGTAGATATTAGTAAAAATATAGCTCAGAAGAAATGAACTAAGTTTTTGCTTATTGATAAAAAGAAGTTATTTACTTCTTTGCAATGAATACGAGGAAAATTCAACCTGCTAGAAACTGTTCGTGTCTCAAATCATCGAAACTCCAATATCTTCTATACGTGAAACGTATTGTAATAACACAAGCTGAAACATCAACTGTTATTCACGAGTCATTGACACTGAAGAATTTCGATCATTTGCAATTGATTGATGATTTAAAAACCAATTTAAGAGCCTGTTTATTTGTTTGCAAGGAATATGGTCCGATTTCAATCACGGCAAGTTTATTATCAAATGAGAAAGATACATAGTTGAGTACTCTCAATAACACTTGCATAAAAGAGATTGTTGTATTGAATTTTTTATTGATAAACAACGTAAATCTTGGCTACTGGGCATATAGCTTACTATAAAAATAAATAGCACTAGTTGTTTCGGTTTTTTTTTCATTTGCAAAGTTACTTTCTTGATATGTTTACTCATTATCAAATCTTATCGAGTTTCTTTTGCGTATCTCTTAATAGTGCAATCAGTGCAAAGTTTAAGAATGTCAGGCAACAGACCTTAGCACATGTAATATTGAAGTTGGAATGCAACTAAAGTTTCTAAATGTTTCTTTCTATCTAACACATTAGTAGACAAAAGTCAACGCCTAGTAGAGTTTTTCATAAGACCAATAGAAATAAGCAGTACTAGCCATTTCCTGATCAGAATTACTGTTCATTCTTTTAGTGTTTTTGATAATTATTAACTGAAAGAGATCAGTTTTATTTTTCTGTGGCGGAAACACTCCATTTTGATGTAACAACAATGACATTGTGGCTCAAATCATCGAAGGAGCCAAAAAACTTGATAAATTCAATCCGTGAAGTTAGACACATGTAAAAATCTCAAAAAGAAAAAAATACTGCATCACTCGCCGAATAACAAACACATTATTCATCAGCCGAGATATTGCTACCTAACTGAAGTAAGAAAGAGCCATAGTAGCAAGAGAATGCTGGAACAGCGCTCGCATGAATCTGGCCCGAAGTACAATCGACCTATATCGAAGCCATTGCTCACAGAAGAACATTAAGAAAACCGTTTAAATTGAGCACAAGATCACTGTCTAAATTCCGTCAAACGATTCATTTGGATATTCCGAGCGAAAAAAGATTATCCAAACCGGGTAGGATCAAATCAAATTAATGTTTGGGGATTGTTTCACAAGTCAAGGTTTTGGTTGTGTCGACTGTTGTAGACAAAACCTTAATGCGGAACTGATGAAGAAGACAACAATTCTAAGTATACGTCCACACTAGCAACAAACTGGAAAATGAATAACGATGTTCACTGAAATGATCGGTCGTCGATATTGTTAAATCTTGCACATATCGAAAACTTTTGGCAACTCTTCAAGATGAAGTTGAGAAGAAAACCGTTTATAATTTATTAATAGTTGACTATGGCAATAAAATGCGCGTAGAGAAGACTCTGACACTGGAACTGAGCATTAAACTTGTATATTGTATGAATAATCGAATTTCTCAATTTAATGAAATTCAGGGCAACTTTACCCTATGTTGCTGATTGATGTGTTTACAAGCACATAATAAAAATGTTTTGATCTGATCAATTCATTTGATAAAGTTTATTGAAGCTGAGACTTCTGATCAACACTATATGGAGTAAGTATGTAGTAATTGAATTAACATTTTTATTTTTCCTTCACCGATAAACATATTTCTTTTGTCAGGTTTTCAGAACTGTTGACTCTTACAGAAAGTAAGCAGCGTATTCGTGTTTTTCTCAGTGACATGCGCTCATTGGCTTGTCACAGCTCTCTCTCTCTCTCATTAGTTGTGATAGATGACAAATTGGATTCTCTATCAAATGATGATATTTTCGAAAAGCGTCGTCGGACAATAATAATGAAGATTTTGACTTCATCTAGATGATATTTGTATCGATAATATTACGATGATTGCTGACCCTGTTTTGAAGAAAAAGCTTGCAGTAATTTTTCGTCCGAATTCGCTCTCGAATATTAGTTGTCAGGTTTGCTTCAGCTGATATAAATGTTGTTTACTTTGGTTAGCACAAGAGATTGTTTTATTTAGTTACTCAGTCCATGTGTTAATGCCGACCTATTGTCTATTCATCAGAGGTTCTGATTGAAATACTATCCTCCTTTAATGATAATCACTGATATGCATTAGTAGCTGCCTCTTTACAGTGAACGCTCATGATGTCAAAAATTTTAATACTTCGATTATGTGCCAAACAAAAGCTTATTCTGTAACGCAGATGTAGATAGTAAGATAATTTAGACACCTTTTGATAGTATCCATGCGAAAAATATAGAATTCTAGCATATTTATTTTGATTTTTTGAAAAAGATTTCAACAAAAGTTAGAAAACGTATATAGATATTCATTGAATATTTGTCTTTATAGTCTAAGCTAAATCATGTACAAGGTTATCTACATCCTTTTCAGGTGTGTCAATACGTTTCTGCGCTACGCCTTTAACCTATCTGATGAATTGAATTAAACGAATCAAAGCAGAATTTAGCCCAATTTTGAATGATCACGGGATAATGATAATTGTGCATGTCGAACACTAACAGTTGGTTTTATTGTTACGCTAAGATTAATGCAGATACCCTATGGTAATTCAGCATAAGCACAGTTAATTTCACTATCACAAGGTATGCGTACGATTGATGGTTAGTTCATTGAAATGACACCACCTGATTGACCGTTACTTGAATGTATGTACCTTCATTATTGAAGAAGAGCCAAACATTGCTGAGAACCTGCATTGTATTTCCCGAGAACGTGTTACCTGACAGGAGCTACACTGAAAAAAACCAAACCCTACTGAACCTTTAAAAAAGATTTCTTGATAGATGACACTCATTTTAAAGGTGTCAAAGGTTTTTACGAAATCCTTTCGAGGGTTTCGAATTCGTTTCAGAAATGGTTCGGTATTATACCATTTTTCTTCAGTGGAGTGATGTGTACTATCGCTCAACAGTTCGGATAAACAGAATGAATTGAATAGACAAATGGACGACAATCTATTTTAACAAATGAACAAAAACGCTGAGCAGACATTCATTTTTCATCTGTGCACCACTTCATAAAAGAGCCATTTGATCATTCGTATTTACATAAATTGCTTCGGGCATATTGGAATACATATATTTGTCACCATTACCAATGATCAGCAAGGGAATTACCCGATAGATAGAAAAATAACTATTACTTTGGATAATTGGATGTAAAAACAATGTACAAACAGTAAAACATGGTTTACAAGTTGAACTATTATGTTGATCACTTCAGCATGACCGACGAATACAGATAGACTGAGCGATGATTAGTTGAGAGAAAAGATCAAGCGTTTCAAAAAGATCGAAGACTTTATAAGCTTCATCGCTAGTAGCCGTGATTGTGGTTTAAAATGACATTAATTCAATATTTGTCAAAAAATCAAATCCAATTTTACTATTAGTTATCTGTCTGAGTATCAAAGGAGCTAACATCAATAGTATATGTGTAATGCCAGATAAATTACTGTCAGAGAATAAAATTTGTTGAATCAAACAGCGACGTTTTAGTGGTATATGTCGCATAAAGTTAATCATCGATCAATTGAATTTTAGAGTTTGGTTTTGCGATAAACTTGTCAGAACCATGAAGGCAAAGAAATCGACTAATATTATTTTCGATAAAATTGGAAAACTATTTGTTACTTTATGGAAGTTATGTAGTAATCATATCATGCAATGATAATATAGTGCCCATGCAGTTCTAATGCGTTAGGGTATTTTGGATGCGAAGTGAACATAACAACACCTGTTTTTGGTGACTCGACGCATTTATCATTTAGAAGTAAGAATGAATGGATACCCAGGGACTTAAAAAATGGCATTTTGGATCATGAAACGGACAAAAACATGCATGTATTTCAAGTTCATTGATTAAAATGAACATTTTCATCAATTTAATTCCATGAATTAAAATCACGGCATTATAATTGATAAAAATGTGCATTTTAATCAATGAATTTGAAATACATGCATGTTTTTGTCCGTTCCATCATTTTAATAATGTTTTTTCATTTTTTAATTCCCTGGCTGGTTGCTTCTTACTGTTTGGATGAATACATTTCAATACGTTGAAGAATAAATGCTTTATCGACATTAATTATGAGATCCGATGCAGGTATACTCGATATTGGCTAAAACTTGATCGTTTAAATTATATTGATTGTAGAGTATAATATTATACATTGCAGATACATGGGCATCTTAAGTGAGAAAATTATACGAGTGACACACAAATATCGATATTCTCTTTATTTGTTTCCTACTTTTTCCTTTCGTCATCTAGCCAATAAAATGTTATGCGATTTACAAAAATCTTTTATAATTGATCAATTACTGATGCTAATCCTTAGTCATTATCATATTCACAGAGAATATCGTAGTCTTTGACGAAAACCAATACAATAATTCACCATGTGTAAAAAGTATCTCCAATTCGGAATCTGAATACAATAATAAATAAAACTGATTTCACACAGATGTCTGATTAGTTATCGCAATTTTTGATCAAATGAGTATCATTTATTTGAGTATATGTGGGTATAAACAACACCTACATCTATACACTCATTCACACCCACAGCCTCTTTCAGTTTACTTACAAAAATTGATTTTCAGAGAAGAAGAACTGAAATACAGATCAGAATCTATAAAATGTTCTCTTTCTACTCTTGATCTTAAACTGAGAGATCTATAAAACCACAATCGACATGTTCTTAACACTAACAAATACCAGGAGCCTATATGGCGAAGATGCATCAGCGACATCTATTCATCTGTTAGTTCAGAGATTTTTATATCAAATATTTTATTTCAATAAATTCTAATCGATATACATTCATTCGAAGATTAAATATAAAAGGACACAAAACAAACCTATTTGATTAGCGTCTTGTTCGTTTGAAACAAAACTTTAATCGTTTGTTCATTTAAATTCTCTATCTTTAATTTCACTCATTCTGTCGTTTCATTTCGTATTTGTTCCTGCAATATATCTAACTAACCTCATTTATCCTTAATATCATTCATCACTTCTATGATATCGATTGATAAGAAGAAGAACAAAAGTGATAAATAATGCCGAACTTTGGTCCATGTAGTGAACCATCATGTACTGCAATTGCTGTTCGTCTTTTTGATTGTGCTCATCATTGTATGAAATTAGTTTGTCTTCAACATCTGATAGAACATGATCGATTAATTAATAATAATCAACTGTATTTGAATAATCTTCGTATAGAACTTAAACAATTATGGGCAGCATATTCATCATCAATAGATGAAACAAAACTTCGTTGTGAGTTTGAAGAAAAATTAAAAAAACATAAACAATTAATACAAGATATAACAAATCTATTTGAAAATGATTCACATTGTATCGAACAATATCGTTTTATGTTGAAAAAACTCAAACAAAATATTGAACAAGAAAAACAACTGAATCAACATTCGACAGAATTTTTTCCATTTATAGAGCAAATAAAAATTGAATCTATTGATGAAATTTCAACAGTTGATGAACTTAGTATGAATACATATTTTTGTATGTTTTTATTGGATTTTTACTTTTGTTTTATTTGTAGATTCGTTGAATGCTAGTTTAACAAGTTGTATCGAAAGGTATAAGAAATCTTTTTTTATTATGTGCTTCACAGATACATATCGAGTAGTTTAGAAAAAATGGGTAATTTTCCCTGCGAATTAATATATATGTAGTATCAATAATTCTCTTCTCTTTCATAGAAAAAAAAAAGATGTGGAGTGAAATTCTCTACAAAAACATATTGAATGTTTTATAACAAAATAAAAAAATGACAAAAACTCCATGAAAAATATTTTAAAATTGTTAAGCCTTCCACTTTCTAACCAAAAATAGGCAGTTTAGTTAGTTTTTTATTTTCCGCTACGTTAAGATATGAAAACCTAGCTATCTATTATGTATCTTTCTTGAAAAGCTCTACCTTCAGTTTTTTTTATTAAAAATAAATTGCACCACAACTAGTTGATACAGAATTCCTTTTTTCATACTCTTTTACTCAAATCATTGCAGACAATGCTTACATCTCTTCCAAAACAGAGTATTTTGAACTTAAACTTATTTTATTTGACAGAAACATGGTATGTCTTATCTAATTTCAAGACGTTGAATGACTTTGTCTCGTTCAATAAGTTAAAAATAAAGTTATTAAATTTTTCATGTGAATGAATTCATTTTAATAAAGTCATCCTTTCTATTATAACACTAGATGTTGACAAATTCCATAGTGCACTATAAGAAAGAGCACACTTGACAGAGTCAAGGAACTTATTTTTATATATCCTATCGCTTTTGAAAGCGTTTAGAAACATTTTTTGACAAACTAAAAAATTGTTTAGAGAATGTTGACGGTTTCGAAGTTTCTTAATATTTTATATTTTGTCTTAAAACATTCAATACGGTTTTCATAGAGAATTTCACAATGCATCTTTTGGAATCAAAACAAAAAAGGTTTTAGATCATACATATATATAATTGCATGAAAAATTACCCAATTCTATTGAATCATTTGTTATATATCTTATAAAATAGTTTCATTAGATTAAACAATAATATTGAACAACAGAAGCAAAAATCAACGACAAATGGTGAGTTCGATCTTTAATATAAGTCTTCTAGGATTAAACTAATTACTAATCTATTGAAAATCAACTCTAACTTCATTTAACCATGTAGAAAATTCACTATTTAAAAAAAATGCATCTTTTCATTTTAGACTCTTCTACAATTAATGCATATGATCATTCAATGAATAATGTCAAGTAATAAAATTTTTTTTTAATTTTGATTCAATACTTCATTCTTTTTATTCTAGTAAAAATCGCAACAATATAACTAGTAAATGTCGAACGGTAAAAATTTGTTTTTTGAAAATCATTCTAATTCAAAAACATTTTAAACTACTGAACAGTGTTTTATCTAGCATAAGGTCTAAGAGGGCAGCACTACTCTGAAGATTGGGTTGACCTTTCCAGAGTTTGTGGCACGTAATATATGTCTGTGTTTTTAACAAATAGATGCTCGTCCTCCTAAAATCCGAAATCGCTCCTCTGAAAGAAAAAATCTGAATATTCTGTTGTAACTTTCATCTGTTTTCTTTTTCTCATCTTAGAGCAATTCTCTATCACTTCGAAAATTATCTGGTACATGTCCATTTTGGTACGATGGTGCGTTTGGTTTAACACAAAAGAGTCATGAAATGTATTTATGTTCCCGTGAAAAATATCATCAACAATTATATCGTCATTTAACTAAATATCATCAATTAACTGTATCAAGTGCAGAAATAATTGGTCAAGCAATTCAAAATAATGAAAATCCTTTTAAAAAAAGGTTATTTCAATTAAATGATATTGTTATTGATCAACTAAATCATCTACAATGCCCATTTAGTATTCATAATGATGCATTATTAATAACTGATAAATCATGTGAACATAATTGTCGAACTGTAAAACCATTAGTTGCACATGCATTACGATACCATTTAATTCATTTTCATCAAATGACAACATTAAATGCAAGTAAACTTGTATATAAATTGAAAAATAATTTAAAAATATTGAATCATCAAAGCAAAAAAGAAAAGGAATAATTAATATTTTTCTTTTTGTATTTATAAAAAAAAAAACTAAAAATAAAATTGTTTTGATTTTTGTATTTTTTTTTCTTTTCAAGATAAGATTAAAAAAAAAATGTCTGAACTATCTGGTCAATGTGAAGATGAATTATGTTTAAAAGAAGCTAATCCTATATCAATACGTGTATTTCCATGTTTATATCATTGTAAAAAAATGTTATGTATTAAACATTTATCTGAACATGATAAATATATTGAAAATCAAATTCAATTTCAAAAACAATTAGAACATTTATGGAACAATTATACTTCAATATTTAATGAAGATAAAATTAAAAAAGAATTTCAAAAATTAAAAATTAAACTTGAAAATTATCAAAAATTGAGTGAAGATATCAATAATGTATTATTAATTAATCATTTTCATGATTCTATGGAAAATAATCAAAAACTTCAAATAGCTATTCAAACAGTACAGAAAGCTATTGAACAAGAATATCGATCAAAATCAGGTATTTGTAAGTGATTTCATTCAAAAGAAAAACAAAAAAAAGAATATCTATTATTTAGTTGATATTCATCCGAAAACTGAATCAACTATGATTGATGAAGAAGAAAATCAACCGTCTATCGATTATGGTAATGTATCATATATAGATATAGGGGCTTCAAAATTTATTCTATTAGGTTTATTTTCAGTTATCTTCCATTGTTGTAAATGCTAGTAAGAGTCTAAGTAATGACTTGTGTAGAGAATTTCATTTCCAATAAGAAACTTTCAAAATGAAAATGACCATTAGTTGTCCAAGGACAGGACATCGTCTCAGTCGAAAAAAACGATTTCACACCTGAACAGCTTCCTTCATTAGTGAAATAACACCGTAGAGTACTAGAAAATGCTTTGTTGTATGAAAAATTGGTTTACTTTATCATTGTAAGTAATTCAAATAGAATAGAATATATAGAGAGTGTTGGTAAAGATTTGTAGGCTTTAGCATGAATAGTTTTCTAGAATATCAAGTGTTGAAAAATTATGAACGGTTTTTCGTTCAACAGTTATCGAAATCTTATAGAGAGCTCCGATAGAAAATTCATGATTGCTTTCCTAGTCAGAACTATTCGTATAATTGCAATAAATGTTAAACCAATAACTGTACAAACTTTGTCAACATTTTATCTTGTAGAAAACTACTTGCTCTACAATAGAGAATACTGAAATAAGTTTCAAAAAATTGTTCGTTTCAATAATCTCTACTGAAAAAGAAAAATTTAATCTTCATTTTTTTAATATATATATATAACTGAAGATCTGGTCAAGTATTCAGTCGCTTTGCAGATGAATTCTAATTTATTAAGTATACGCCATTGAAGTTAGAGAATATCTAAAAATATTCATGTGTAAGTCTTCTTGAAGTATGACTATTTGAATAAGTTTTCTAACAAAATCTTGTGATCTATCTCAGATTACCTTCTGCATCAAGTATTGATTCCAAACTTCACACAAATAAAATTTTCCATAGAAACAGTTTATATCGTGAGATAACAATATAAGAACAAAATTTGCTACTTCACCATAAAAGAATTTTTCAATATTGATACTTGAGCATCGAATATACTGTATTGTATCGATTTTGAAAGTCATCTAAGAGGCATGATGACATTTTATTGAAAAGCTAACTCAAAAGACCATAACGCAAGAAGAAAGAGATATACACAAGAATCTTCTTAGGTTTTATCTAAGGCTCTACACCGATAAGACGTTTCCTAACCGAATCCGAATCAGAGCTAATTAACATTCGATAAATAATATTACATTCATAATACGATTTTCAAAATTTTATTTTATATGCAAAGTATAGTATTCAGTCTCTGCTGTAAATAACAACAACAACAAAAAATAGGTCATCTCAAATTACACAAAAAAAAAGCACGTAAATCAAATTATTCAGGGCTCACGTGATGGCATTCTACTTCTAAAATCTTAACAATGTTGCTGAATATACATTTGCTTGTTACTGACGGCGCTCAAATAGAACTCAGTATTGGTGCCAATCATCATAATTGTGAATGGATACATAAATACTATTCCTATCATAATAATATATATGTTTACCTTTTGATGATTCATTTTTTGTCTCCTTGTATTCAGTTATTTCATCATATGATTCATCATTATCTATAGGTGAAAATTTTATTAGAAACAAATAGTTTTAGTAAAATAAAATCGGCTGTCAGTTTTGTGATCTATTCTCAAATACAATAATTTGCTCAATGATAACCAAACCGGTTTCCACTCCTATGGTTTTGTGTATAAATTAATACGTTGAAAAAGTAAAAATATTTTGAAATGTCGACGTCTTATTGATTGTCGAGCCAGTTCTGAAATCTGGTATCTAATATCGGACTTCTATTTAATGAAAGATCATTGTAGTATCAGGATTTTCAATGCTCCAGTTCACACAAAATCTTTCTGCAACCAGAAAATCTTTAGCTACCTTGTATGTGTTTCAAATTCAAGTTTGTGATTTTTCATATACAAAAAAAAAAAAAGAGACAACATTCATTTTGTGTTTCTAGCATATTGATCCTCATCCATCATAGCTAACGATGGTAAACAATAATGATATATACATATGCAAAAATTATAAGTGAAGCTTAAAAAATAGATTATTTAACAGAGAAAAATTTGCATTAAATCATCAAATGTGCTCAGTTATTCTTTTTGATACTTTTAGGTTCTGAAACTATCGAGTCTTTTCCTTCAATATTAAATACTAATGGTGGTAATTCGCCGTAAGTTATAAAAAAAATTCTTACCTTATTTTTAACATAGTTTTTTCTATTTTCTTCTAGTCTAACAGAACAAGAGAACGAATATTTTCAACACACTGACGAATGTACTTTACTTTTCAATTAATTTTGACAATAAGATCATTTTCTTTTTTGTTTAGCTGATGGTTATGGAAATTCAATTGAATTCGAAAATGAAGATAATACAATGGAAGATAGTTCACTTAGGTAAAATAAGAATAAATATTTAATAAATTTCTCTATTGAATTATTTTTGTTTTATAGAGATGATAATAGAGAAACAGTATGTTATAAAACAGATTTTCTTTTTTTTTTTTAATTTTATTTTATTAAACTTTTTTTCAATATTATTTAAAGCCAAAGAGAAATATTAGTGCATCAAAAATACGTGGTTATTGTCCATTAACACAAGATGGTGTCTTTGGTATTAGTTGTCATTTACATGGAATAAGTTTATGTTCAAGAAAATCTGATGGTAATCAACGTACATATCGATTACATGAACATTTTCGTCGTGTTCATCATTTAACTCCATTAGCATCACTTACACTTGCTCGAGCCATCCATTCAGGCCAAGATCCAATGACAACACAATTATTTAATGAGCATCATATCATTTTAGATATAGATGAATTACGTACAGTTATTTGTCCCATAAAGAAGCCTTTTATCAATTATCCATTACTTCATATAGTTAATTCACCATGTGATACAATAAAACAAGTACGACATCTTAAAGATCATCTTAAACGTGCTCATAAGTTTACAAATAAAGCAGCTAATATAATTGTTAAAGGAGTGAAAGCTGATGCACCAATACATAAGATTCAATTTCCACGATGGATTGATATTATTGAAGATGATTAACATTTCTAAATCTATTTTATTTTGTTTTTTGTTTTTTTTTTATTTAAAATTCATCTTTCGATAATTTCTTTGTTCGTTTTGTTCTTTTTTTTCTTTGTCTTTATTATGATGTGTATATATAGATATATTTAATACGAAAGAACAAAAATAAAACTTGAACAATTGTTGAACCTAAGCATTTTCTTTATTACTTTTAATTTATTCATTGATCATTACCGGCAGCAAATAATATTCAACAAGAGAAATTTGATTGACAGTTTAAGGAACAAAGCTTTTACGTCGTACAATATTTTAAATCGGCTGTCAATGTCTATCGTTTACGAACGCAATTGATAATTGATCACCAAAAATAAAAGGAAAAAAAGAGAGACATCCGGTATGGAAAAAAAAAGAACTGAAATAACAATAACACCATTAATCGTTATAGTTGACAATATCCAAAATTGACCTTGAACAAGCTCTATGACTTGTTTGCACGGCAATCTAATGCAAATCATTGTCCGTTTTGTTAATGTCTTTGAAAACTACAATTGCTGATGCTTCGCAGCAATCAACAAGACGATCATCCAATCCATTATTCATGATGAATGCTTTTCTTTCTTTGTAGTTTTTTTTTTTTTTATTCAAATCGGCATGTTGTCGATTTCTCATTTCAAAAAGGAAATGCGTGCGTCTGTCGATCTGCGGAGGCGTAATTTATTGAAATGCTTTGACTATATAAATTGAGCTACTCTGTTTTCTTCTACTAATTCTTACACAAGACAGAAGTCTTACATATTTGAATCAAGAGAATAAAATATCAAGAAGATAATGGCTTTTTCAATGAATGGTTGTATATCCAAACCATCATTTCGTAAAAGTTATTCCATTGAATATGGATATAAACCACGAAAACGAACATTAATTGCTGATGCTGAATTTGATCGTGAACAACATGATGAAGAACAACATAAACATCAACATATAATACACGATGGAGAAGTAAAAGAAGAATTCACTTATACAATACTAGTTACAATTAAGGATAAAAAAAGTGCATCAATGTTAAATTTAATTAATACATTTAATCGTGATGGACTTAAAGTACAACATATGGAAACACGTGCAACTGTTGTACCACCTATTGAAACACAATCCTCCATGGGTATGGAATTTTTATTTTTCAACACGAAAAAAAAACAAAACATTTTATATTTATTATTATTATTATTATTGTTATTATTTCAGGTCTTGATGTTTTTATGGAAGTTCTATGTACGGATAAAATTATGGATGATCTTAAACGAGATTTATTTCAATCAGATTCGAAATTTATTGTAAAAAATATCAAGCTTCATACAATTCCATTAAATAAAGAATCAAACGAAACGAATGATGAAAATGATACAAGTGATATTATTTGGTTTCCAATGTCTATATGGGAACTTGATAGATGTCATCATTTACATACAAATTATCAACCTGATATGGATTCACGTCATCCTGGTTTTTCTGATAAAGCATATCGAGCACGACGTGAACGTATAGCTCAGATTGCATTTGATTTTCGACATGGTGATGCTATACCAAGAGTAGAATACACATTAGATGAAACAAAAACATGGGGGTAAAATTATTGATAGTATTTAAATTTTATTTATTTTTTTATTATTCTTTGTTCTTTAATAAGAATTATTTATCGACAACTAAGTAAACTTTATCCAACAACAGCATGTAAACAACATATTCATGTACTTGAAATATTAGAAAAAGAAGGTGGCTTCTCTGAAAAATCTATTCCACAATTAGAAGATGTATCACGTTTTATGAGAAAACGATCTGGTTTTCAACTTCGTCCTTGTGCAGGTCATTTTAATTTATATCTCTCTATTATCATAATCATATTTATTTTAGGTCTACTTTCAGCTCGAGATTTTCTGGCAAGTTTAGCATTTCGAGTATTTCAATGTACACAATATATTCGGCATCCATCATCACCACTTCATTCACCTGAACCCGGTTAGATGATATTCTTTGATGTAATTTTTTTTTAATTATTCATTTTATTTTAAGATGTTGTACATGAACTTCTTGGTCATGTTCCGCTTCTATCGGATCCAAATTTTGCTCAGTATGAATTTTATATGATTATGAACCATTTACATAAAACTTTGTTTTTGGTGTAGATTTTCGCAAGATATTGGTTTAGCCTCGTTAGGTGTAAGTGATGATGATATTGTGAAACTTTCAACACTCTATTGGTTTACTATTGAATTTGGCTTATGTCGTGAAAATGGACAGATTAAGGCATATGGGGCAGGTTAGTTTCCAATGGATCTTTTTTTTAATAATTTTCTTTTTGTTCTCGAAAGGTCTTCTTTCATCATTTGGCGAACTTCAACATGCATTATCATCAAAGCCTCAAATCAAACCATTTGAACCAGAAACAACTGTTATACAAGAATATCAAGGTTTGAAAAATGAAATTTTCTATTTTAATCAAATATTTTTTCTCCATGTTATTAATCTTCTAGATGAAGATTATCAACCAATTTATTTCTTGGCTGAAACATTTGAAGATGCCAAAGAAAAATTACGTATTTATGCTAAATCATTAAAGCGTCCATATGGCCTTGTCTATGATCCATATACGCAATCATTACGTATTCTTGATAGTGTTAAAGTTATCCATGATATTAGTGCCAATCTTAAACTTGAAATGGATATACTTGAACATGCACTTGATCGTCTTCATACAAATGGTATTGATTTTAAAATTATTTCATAAAACTAAACATCTATTTATTTTATTGAGAAAAAAAGAAAACCAAAAACAAAGTTTTTTTTTTCTTTGTTTTTAAAAAATAAAACGATTTGAATGAAATAAACGAAAAATAAAAGTAATATGATTATCAAATGATAATATAAAATACATCCAAATGATGACTATAGTTGACATAGTAGATAACAAATATGCATTTGTTAAAGCTTCTTCAATAGTAATTTCAATTGTATTTGTTTCATTGATGAAATACTGTTCTTTGCGCATTGTTTATTGAAAAAATATATTCAAATGCGCCAGAAAACAAAGAATTTTTTTTTTCTCAGGCGTAAAATTCGTTCACACAATTTCTTATGTATATATGCGCGCGTGAAACGTTTAGAGATGAAAGGAGTATGTTTCTATCGACATTTGACTTGACACACACATCGGTCGTTCGACTGATATCGACACCTCATAATGCACACGGGACGGTGAATTTCAGAAGCAAGCAAAAATGACATATGGTGTTAAAAGTCGCAAAAAAATGAATTTTTTTATTTTGCTCATCAGAATATAAAATTGATGTATGATGTAAAATAAAACAAGGAAAAGAATAAACGGTTAATCATTGTATATCCAGATTTTATAATAAGCGCGTGTACGCTCTGATCGTCACAGTCAGTGTTCATCCCATCTCTAATTACCATCAAGGTTGAAACGAAACATCTCTATAATTGAACAAGTGCGCGTCCAAACACCTCAAACAGGTCAAAACTCAGTAGGTGGTCAACAATGATGACAACTTATACTTTTCTCTGTGTTTTGTTTTTACCGCATAGGTAAAGTTATTGATCCATGAATTTTCCGTTTAGGGTGATGATAGTGGCTTGAGGCAGTGTTAGAAAAATAGGGTGTGGACATGTGAAAGGAGCAGCCATATATAAATGTTATACAATTAGAGCTATGTTTTTTAGCACTATAATTGGTGATAGAAATAACTGAATATAAATTGTGAAAAAAAAAGAGATCATGCGTAACAGATCTTGAGAATGAAATTTATATTCTTTGATATTGAAAGATAATGTATAAATATAATCATTGTATAAGTTAATTCTAGAAAATAAAATGCATTCAATTCATCATTATCGAAAATTTCTCTTTTTTTTTTTCATTGATTAGAAGTATATTGACTTTGATGTGAATGTATCTGTTCGTGATAAACAAAACGGTATCATCTCGTTTCATTCATATCAATTTTTTGTTCTGAATAATTTTAACCTTACATCAACTACTATATTTACACATATATCCAAATCGGAGAGCTAATATAACCAATTTAATGGAAATATTGCCACTGTCAATTCAAATCGATATGTAATGATTGATGAATTAAAAAAAGACTGTATGTGCAACGTGACTACGATGAAATATTTTAACAACAATATAAACTAACTTTTACGAAATAAAAAAAAAATATTTTTTAGAATCAATGAGTGTCTTGATTCAACAAAACAAAATGAAAAAGATCTGTTTGTCCTTAGATAAATATTTTCCTAAGACTAGTAAAATATTACAAGAATATTTTGTTGTCAATATCTGATAAACTATTGAATTATGTTCTCATTTTTATTTTTATAGTGACTTTCTCTAATAGAAAGTTGTATTGATTTTTTTTGTCATAAAATACGGCTGAATAAATTGTCGATGAAATGAGACCAAACTAAATAAATTTGTCTTCTTAATTTTGACGAAAATAGTTGATCAGAGAATATACAAACTCAGCAGGTGACTTGTTTTGTCTATTTATCTATCTGTTGGTACAGTCTGTCTACTAATAATCAATTTCTTTTCCTTTTTTGCTCTATTCTTCGAAGGTGACAAACCGATCACAATTAGACTGCTTATACATGCAGTGCACAAAATGGAGAACGAGTATTAGTGAAAGATCAATCGTTCGCCTCCTGCATACCCAAAACGTAATAATAATAGCAACATTGAACATGCAGTGAACGCAATTGTGCGTAAAATAGACTCAATTTTAATTCATTCGATTTGAGTTAATCTTTAATGTATCAATTCCAAACGAGTTCATATATTTGAAAGAATGAAATCAACTACAGAAGTATAATCTTTTTTCCAAGATTGATTTTCTTATAAGTAGTGGAGAGAGAAAAAAATTTACAGAGACCATTGAGTTTCAGTTTGCAGCTAAAAAATAGGAATTTACTTAACCTGTAATATAGAACTGTCTTATTTCAAGAGGAAGCTCAAAAATTTCTGCACAAGTCTGAGCCCGGTCCAATTATCCACTGACTTCGCCACTACTTCTTATTTTATGAATTAATGACTAAATTGTATCTAATTCATTTCAATCTATATTTCATGTCTTTCTTACTATCAATAAATCCATTTTGTCGCCGACACTATTTCGTTAATTTGTATAAACGTTTGTCCAAGATTGAGAATTTCGATGATGGACAACATTGTCAAACATATTGTACATTATTTTTTTTTGTTGTTATTTGAAACATTCAAAGTACGCGTGGACACAAGGTCATGAAATATCGTTTTCATTTTTATTTTCTTCTTTTGTAGCCTTGTGATATAATGAACGATTAAATTGACACATTTTTTAAACCTTCAAGGTTTTTTTTCCTTTAATATCCGACAAGATCAAAGCAATAAATCGTGTTAAAAATAGCAGCAATGATAGCCGATCGAAGAAGAAAAAAACAGAGATGAAGATAGCTTAGAGCAGCAAGTAACTTGTTGATACCAATTTTCAGCATCAGACATTTATCGCAAATAAATCCGACATCAAAATTAATCGTTTGATAAAATTAACTAATTCTTTTCTACAAACTTCTTCTTTTCATTAAACCAATCTAAATTTAATGATTCTCTTAGCACATTCGATTAATACTACACTCTAATTGATTAAATTTCGAAAATTGGTCTTAGCTCTTTACACTCACACATTTATTCGTGTCAATTTCCCTTTTTCTTTCCAATATTGAGAAGAAGATCATATATATGTATGTGACTCTTTTTATTCGGATGTTGTACCCATTGAAAGAGCATCTATAATTAGGTGTAACATCAAAAATTATATTCTAATCGTTGTGTGATGATTTTTATCTCAACTAGGTCGCATCAGATAGTCTAGTTAATAATGTCTGATCAAGCTACAAAATAAAATGCCCTGCAACGTTTTTCTCATCGTTCTAAATATGATCCGTTTAAGAAGAAACTTTGTTGTACGTTTAACATCTGATTAAAAAAAAGAAAAGAAAATTAGTCCATATGCTTTTTTTTAAATAGACAAGCATCATGCATTATTGCCATCAGGCTGTGATGTAATGCTGTCAAGTTAACTCATCTTTTTAATCTTGTTTTGCTTTTACTTTAAAAACACATGACAGGTCAAATGTGTGGAAAAAACAAACTGACAATTGCTTAAAGAATAAAGATAAAACGATAGACATGCCATTCTAGATTACAGTTGGTTGTGATTTTTAAAATGCTATTGACGAATAAAAAATTGTTTTAGCATCATGATTCGACTAAGTCCTCTTGAGATCTTCAATTGTCATGTCAATTTGCATTTTTGATGTTTATTTTGTTAATAGTGACATATGTATCGTATGGTTCATTTGTTCATTTAACACCTTATCAAACTAAAACGATAGACTCATTCCGCTATCTATTTCTCTCACGATCTCACTTATTCGTCTTTTTTTTTTTTTGTTTTCTCTTTAATGAGCTCATCGTTCGTTTTTAAATTTCTATTATATGACATCCAATTTAGTTATACAACAGCTGGTATAATTGAATATTAATTTAACTGATGATTAGATCAACAAGTAGAATTACGACAATCGTCTTAAATATAATAGATAGCTGTTTAATTATGTCAACAAAATAAAATCTTATTGAAATAAATAGTTTAGATCGACATCGTTGATTGAAATATGAATAATTCTCTTGCAGTTGATTGGTAGATCATCACATAACAAAAAGAAAAAAAATAGAGAAAGAAAGAGAAGAAGAAAAAAAAAAAGACGAAGCAGTTTTTCTCTTTTATTATCAACAGGAAATAGAAAGAAAAGAGTGTCTATTTTATCAAGTTTCCGTGGTGTGGAAGAAGGGTGTGGTGACTTTGAGTTTTGTGCGAAGAAAAATTTGTAAAAAAAAATTACTCTAAAGATTGTCATGCTTGACGACAATCATCTTTTTCAACGTGCTGCTTCATCAGCTTATGCATCGATGGCTGCATTTACTGCTGCAGCTAATATGTATAATTCATTTTATCCAACAGCAACAAATACAAATATGGACCCAGTGAATTATTTTGGTTGTACTGGTAAATGAAAAATTTGTTTTTTTCAAAAAAAAAACAAAACTCTTCTTTGTCTTCTTTTAGATATGAAACGAGAAAGACTTGATTCAAAAGTTCGTGTTAAACTTGAAGATATGGATTTATGGAAACGTTTTTATTCATTAGGAAATGAAATGATTATAACAAAGTATGCTGAAAAAAAAAAACAGAAAAACTTTGATCTCTTTTATTAAAATATTCTTTTTTTTTAAATAGAAGTGGCCGTCGTTTATTTCCAAATTTTCGTGTTTCTGTCAGTGAACTTGATCCAAATGCAAAGTATATGTTTTTATTGGATATTGTACCTATGGATGATAATCGATATAAATATCATGAATCTTCCTGGACTATTTCTGGTAAAGCTGAACCACATCTTTATGGACGGTAAGATCTTATTTTTCTATCATTTATATGACTGTTTTTTCGAAATGATAATTATTTAGATATTATGTTCATCCGGATAGTCCACAAACTGGTTCACAATGGATGAAACAATCAATTCTTTTTAATAAAGTTAAAATCACAAATAGTCCAATGCAAAATCCTAATCATGTAAGTATTGATGAATGAAATTTAACCTCAAACTAAACATATCTTATCATTTTCTTTGTTTTTTTGTTATTTGCAAAGATTATTCTTAATTCTA